CGAACTAATACAAAAATTTTTAGCTCGTTATATCTTTTAAAGAGAAGTTATCGCTATTTCTTTAGTTCTTGATAATCGGTTAGAGAATTAACTTATACATATTAAAACTTAGCTTTTAACATTTTTTCTGTCATTTTTTATACAGGACTAATACAAAAATTTTTAGCTCGTTATATCTTTTAAAGAGAGGTTATCGCTATTTCTTTAGTTCTTAATAATCTACAATACGTATGTAACACTTGAACATGATTGGCTAAAAAATGATCTACGGCACATGACCAGTCACTTTTTTTTCGCCATGGCTAGGGTTTTATAGCATAACTCCTCCAATGTGCACCGGCCCTATGATGTGGATATATTTTAAAAACTCAATTTAGCATCAATACTAGAAAAGATAAAACACGTATATGTATATACCATGGACTCGTGAATTCACTTGAAAAGTCCCCTGGAAAATGTTTCACTACTACAGTAACTTCAAACCTTTTTTCTTGCTGCAAGAGAAGAATAGCAGTAGTTAAACTGAAAACACCAGCACTAAGCACAACAACACGTTTGTTAGTCATGAATAGTTTTGTAAAATAGGGTTACAAAATTTTAAGAGTTCGAAGGACAAATTTCATGGATTTTCGACACCTAATTTTTTGGATAAACTATACCAGGAACGTAGTACGAAGTATGAAGTATATGGTACAAAATCTTGCATATTATTGATAGCATGTTCACATGTTCAAATCGATCTTTGTACATGCAAGACGGGTAGCTTTTAATTGTTAGACTGGTCATACATTGTTGAATTCCGCCAATGAAACAAAGACCATCTGAATTAGTATATTGATTGATATACGTATAAAATATTACAGGTTTTATGAATACTAAAATATACCTGTTATACTTTACCGATCAATTTACGAGTAAGAAAAGGATGTAGTATGATTTTAGCAACTACTCAACAGCACCGATAGATTTTCACTGATCTGAAATCTAGAACCTTCGAATCCATAATTATTATAAAAATTTTTGATCTTTTTAAACTTCTAGCGAAGGTTTCTCAATAACTACTTGATCAAATTTAGTGGAAATTTTTTTTATTTTAATTTAGTATTACAAATCGAAAGTCGCAACTAATCGCAACTAATCAAAAAGTTGACAACTAATCGATTGAAAAATTTTTGGCAATTTATATTATTGCAGATCA